TTTATCTTCAATATATTATATTATAGAAAATAATTATTTTCTTTTTATTCATATATTTTTTTAATAAAAGATAAATAAAATGATAAAGGGATTTTGTTATAATTTCTAGACGAAAAGGTATAAAAAAAAAAAAAAAAAATAAAAAAAAAAGAGAAACTAGATTCACAGGAAGAAAGGAAAACTTTTACTGTTACACAGGTACCATAATGCTATCTGAGAAAAATATAAAAACAAGTTGATAGAGACCCCATTTCTATCACTTTTCCTATCTCTATAAATGTAACTAAATGCACACATACATATACACACGTACCAACACATGTATATATATATATAAGGAAGAGTAAGAAAAATGTTAGGAATAAATAGAGAAAAATAAGAAAAAGTAGAAGAGCAAAGTAGAATAACAGAAAGATAATGTATCGAAGAGAAAGAGAAAAAGAGAGAGAGAGAGGAGAATAAGTGAGAGGGGGTAGATGGGTGAGTGAAAGGGGGATGAAAAAAAAACTTTTAACGATTCGACTTGCTCGATAGTAGTACAGTCATCTGTTACAGAAAGTTGTCGTTGTCGTTGTCGTTGTCATCGTCGTTGTCGTCGTAGTCGTTGGGATAGGTCGAGTAGTATACTGAAAGAGAGAGAGAGAGAGAGAGAGAGAGAGAGAGAGAGAGAGAGAAAAAGAGAAAGAGGGTGAAGAGGGTGGGAGGGTAAGAGGTGAAGGCTTGAGACGAGGTGAGGGCGAGGCAGGCGGTGGTACGCTCGGCCACGAATGGCCGAGGAATTGGATCGTCCGGTCTACCGGGTGTCCTTTACTTTTTCCCCCCTTTCTTCTCTTCTAATTTTATAATTTAATTTTTAATTCTAATATATTATTAGAATTATCATTCTAATTGTATTTCATACTTATTTAGATTGTCCCAATAAAATGATTTCTTTTCAATTAATTAATCTTCATATTATATTGCACGATAATTTTTGATTGTATTATCAAATGATTTTTAATTTTATTTTTTTTTTATTTGAATTATTTTAAAGTTTCTTGTTCTATTTTTTTTTCACACACGTATTCATTTTATATCGTACAATATATTGTTGTTATTTTTTATTTTAACCAATTTACATTATATATATAAAATAATACTAAATATTATTGTGCATGTTTTAAAATTGATAAAAATAAAAAAAATAAAAAAAAAAAAGGGAAGAAACTTTAATACAATTTCTCTTTGTATATCTCTAACCGTGCAGTTGTTTTCTTGATATCGGTATAATAAAAAGAAAATAAAGAAAGAAAGAAAATAAAAATGGTAACAAAAATTGTAGTTGTCAAGCAGAGAAAATGAAAATTTCTAGCTCGACGTATGATAACGTTCAATTCCGTTATTCCAAAGAGAGAAAGAGATGGGGAACATTTCCATCTTCACGTGTGTATTTTACGTATGCACGTATTTATGTACACATTGGTATGTATCCTCTGTGTAAATAGATTCATATATATATATACATACATACACGTATGATGATATATACTACACATGTATACATATATACATATGTGTATGTTTGCGTGAGTGAATTGTATTATTCGGTAGGTTTGCTAAGAATTCCGACCAAGATTTTCTGTTTAAACCATGAAGGATTTTAACTCGTTCGTTCATTTTCATTTGAACGTCGTTATCGTCGTCGTCGTCGTCGTCTTTGTCATCGTCGTTGTCGTTGTCGTTGTCATCATCATCATCATCATCATCATCGTCGTCGTAGTGACGTGTTTCAAGAATCGTCGCGACGACGTAAAAGCAAAAGTATGTCACGTTGCGTCAGGTCAGGAAGATATCTCTCTGGCTGAGGCCAGACCTCTCTCCTATATATGTACTACGAAACTAAAAAGAAGAATCAGAAGAAGAAGAAGAAGAAGAGGAGGAGGAGGAGGAGGAGGAGGAGGAGGAAGAGGGTGGAGAAGAATGAGGAGGAGAATAAGAAGGAGGATGAAGTTGAAAATGAAGAGAGGGAAGAAGATGTGGAAGTAAAAGAGAAAGAGGTGGGTGATGGTAGTGGTATCGGTAAGGGGGTGGTATTCGAGAGTGCAGAGGGATGAGGATGAAGGAGGAGGAATTGCGCTTACTCGGCTCGAGTTTCGCTCGGAAGATTATCAGGAATTCAAAGAATGAAACGTTCTCCGGTAAACTTAGTTTCGACGATCCCATCGATCGATCAATCAATCAATCAATCATTCAATCGATTCACGAATTTATCTCACTTTTTATCTTTATTCCCTTCATCTAATCTCAATCAGTCTCTTTATATGCATGCAAATACATTTAATTATGAACTTGAGAAGGTATGTATATTAAACTTGATATTGTAAGTAAAAATATTTGAAAAAAAATGATTTAACGAAAAAGGAAAAAAGAAAAATGTGACACATGTCGTAAAAGATGATGTAACTAAATCGTAAATCAAAAAAGACTACGTTGATTGGCTCGTCGAAAAACTATTAAAGTTGTATATGTGTTTTTTTCTATCTTTTTTTTTCTTGAAGAAGAAGAAGAAGAAGAAGAAGAAGAAGGAAAGAAAGAATTTTTGTTTTGTTTGTTCGAAGTTTAAAGTTTGAATTAGCGATAATTATAATGGCGCGTGGCACAAAATTTTCGGTCTAGAAGAAGACGAGCAGTGCGAGGCGTGGAGGCTTCGGGTTCGGAGTCCGAGGTCGACGCCCGGGCGCAACAAGTGCTGCACTACGTTAGTATATATCTATATATATATACACACATGTATAATATTATATATATATACACATATATACATATATAGTTGCTCGAGTCGGAGAGGCACCCCACCTCGTTCGCAACTCGCACACTTGCAAAAGCTCCCTCTCTCTCTCTCTCTCTCATTCTCTGTTATTCTCTTTCTTTTTCCTTCTCTAGTATTCTCCCTCTCTCTCTTTCTTTCTCTCACCCCTTTTGTGAGAGAAACCGACTTCTCGTTCTATCTTACTCGCTCACTCGCTTAATCATTCTTTCACTCACTCACTCACTCACATACTCACATACTCTCTTGTACTATCTCACTCTAGTATTTCTCTTTTACTCTTTTATTTACTCCCTTACTCCATGTTTTTCTCTCTTTCTCTAACTCTTTCTGTTCTTCCCTCGTGTTCACCCATCTCCGTTGCTTACTTGCACTCGAAAGAACATCGTTGTGTGTGTGTGTGAGAAAGAAAAAGAGAAAAAGATAAGAGGAGTGGAGTGTCAGCGACGTGCGCGTGCCTTCACCACCACCACCACCACCACCACCACCACCACCACCACTACCACCACACAACTTACACACCACCGTCCTCCGTAAATATAAAACTGCACTGGGTCAGGGATCCGTGATTTATCGGCTGCCTCGTGTAATTGGCTGCCGGCCAATAGATATATACCCCCGTGGTTAGAAGAGAACGACGAAAAGGGGAGGACAAAGAGGGATGAAGAGGACGGGTATAAAGAATGAGAAAGAGAGAGAGAGAGAGAGGACGTATTTTCTTGCTGTTTCATTCGACTATATCCGTATAATAAACGTCTCATCGAACTTCTTTCTATTCTTCGAAATCTTTTCATTTATCTTATTCTATTTCAAATCAATCAACTTCTACCGCCGTACTTTTTCTTTTTGCGCGCGGGAATTTTGAATACGAAAAGTTTCTATTACAACATACGGTACGGTATACCGTAATAACGAAACGATTATAATAACTTGTTTAAGTGTTCATAATTAAATAAAAAATAAATAGAATATATATATTATAATAATATTGAAATAGAATTTGTATTATCGATAGTAATAATCGATAGAAATCGATAGTAAAACAAAAACATTTCTCAAGTTTTTCTTCTGCTCGAGTATATTTCTACATTTAAAAGATTTATTATTATACTTTATCGTTTCTTGGTTCACGTGTTTTACTCGATATCTTCTTTCTTTAGTTGCGATTGACTTTGTAAAAAAAATGCATGAAGAGGAAGATGCAAGTGGGGGGAAATAAAAAAAAGATAGAAGATGCAGTTGATTTTTTTTTTCTAAAAGAAACAATGAAAAAGCCGTGACTTCTAACGAGTTGACGCACTTTCGCGGAGGTCAAATTCCATGCAACCACTGTAATAATATATACGCGGAGATCGTCAAGGCAGACTGTTCAGGAACCTTCGAACAGTGTATTATACTTGTATATGCGTGTGTATGTGTGTGTGTTTAATATCGTAAATAATGTGTGCCACGCTATCGTTTTAATCGTGAAGAAAATATTCAAATAATTTAATACGAAAGTAATTTGATTATTTGTAAATAATATTTTTTGTCATTACCAAAACTAATTCAAAATTCGTCCATTTTTTGGGGGGGGGGTGAGGGAAGCGGGAATTTTAAATTATAAAAATTACCAAATAATATTTCAGATATTATCATTGATAATTTTTTAGTAATACTTTTATGTTCATTGATAAATCATGTTTGTTATTTAAATTAAATTTCGATCCTATCGGTATAATTCAAATGGCGTTAAACAAAGATGCTATGGTGTACTATTATCAACCATCATCATCATCAATGTGTTCGATTTAAAAACTTGGCGAGCACGTGCCGCGTTGAAATTCGATATCTCCTTCCGAGTTTGTCATGAATGAAGCTACCAAGAATGTGAAGGAGAGAGAGAGAGAGAGAAAGAGAGAGAGAAACAGAGAATAAATGAAAGAAAGAGAGAAGGATAGATAGATAAAGAGAGAGAAAGAGGTAGAGTGAGTTGGCGCCATCTGTCGTGATTTCGTGAATTATTTGTACCGTCGATATTTAAGGTAACTTCCATTATCATCGTCGGAGGTTGTAATGTAATTCTATTGTAACCACGTACGAAAATAAAGGGAAAAGAAAAGAAAAAGAAAAATGTAGGTTCAGATTAGGTTAGATTGATAGAAGAATGATAGAAAATGACATGACACCTAGAATAATACGAGAAGAAACTAACCTTGGTTAGAGATTAATCGTTGCTTGGCATATTCCTTTGCTTTGGCGACATCATCACTTCCTGTCTGAAACGTTAACAATAAAAAAACCAAGAAAGGACAAAAAAAAGGAGGGAAAATAATCCTCTTGCAAATATTTCATTTCGTCATTAAAGAAAAAAAAAAGAAAAAAAAAACAGACGAAATGCACGGAACGTACTTGGGATTTTTTTCCGCGATTCAAATTCTTCATACGACTTTCGAACATGCACACATTATCGTAAAGAGGCGCGGACGTAGAAGGTAAACGTAATTTCGTCGAATAAATAGCTTTAATGGGATCAAATTTATTGCTACTAATATCGATACTTTCGTCGGACGTCGAACTGCTATCGTCGTCCGCCATTTTGCCAACTACTCTCGTATCGTCTGCTAGAATTGTTACCGTTGGTTGCTACCGGAGTTCATACTTATGGCGCGAAATATGAATTTTTTCTTGTCGCGCATGCATATAACGTTTGATAATATCAACTCATTGTATATACCTCGTAATAATTAATCGCGTGAGAATAATGAGAATATTGACCGGATTAATACGGAAGTATGAAAAAAAAAATCTAAAGAAAAAAAGAAAGAAACAATCTAAAATTATATCCACATTCGGAAATGATCCGCGAATCATAATTTCTCTTTCTCTTCCTTTCTCTCTTTCTCTCTCTCTCCCTCTCTTCTCATCATCCATTGTTTTCGGTAGAATGCATTCGAGTCGATTTCGCTGGATGATAATGAGTAAATAAATAAAGTAATATATACAACATATACTGTGGGATCAGGTACTTCAATTCGAAATTGACCTGAGGGTTGTGGATAGCTCAAAGGTTAAATTAAATGCTGGGAAAGTGGAAGACCCTGGTTCTGGTAGATCTAACGGTTTCAATTTTTTTTTTTTCACGTATCCTACAATATAACATATACTCTTAAATTATGTATTTCTTGTCACGTACGATAAAAGAAACGGATAGGATTTATAAAACGATGCAGAGTGTGGGGAAAGGGGTATTATAGACTATAAGGGAACGGCGAACGCGGTTGGTGAGTGGGGGTGGGTGGGGAAATAGTAAAGGAGAGGCGGGAAAAGGATGTTAACCTCATCGCAGAGCGAGACTAGAAACTTTCTTTCGCGGGTAGGCTAGGAAAGAATTACGTAAAACCATGAACGTTCTCGTCCCGCACCGTCTTAGCTGAAGCTCCATAGAAATGCGTCGAGGGAGAGGCAAGTGAGTAGTAAGTAAATAACCAACCAACCAACCAACCAACCAACCAGCCAGCCAGCCCCAGGAGGAGTGGAGGTTACGCGTGCACAGGAAGTGAAACAACAACCTGCGAGAGACAGAAAGAAAGTTTTCACTCGGATAATGTGTTTTCACTTTCATGGAAATGCCAGAGAACTCTAACTTGCTCGAGAGTTACCTCTTCCCCCTTTCCCCCTTTATAAAATTCTCACCCCTCCCTCCCACCCCTTCTTCCGCTGCATCTTTAACTTCGCTATTCTTGTATCGTCGCTGTTGTGGTACGTGAGATTTCAATTGGAAGAAGTTCAACCAATGATCGTCAACTTTCATTAAGCCGCCCGATTCATACGAAGATAGTCTTCCTGAAAGATTTTTAAAACTTGATTGAATTAAATTGTTTTTTATTGAATATAATTATGTATAATAATATCCATACATTCGTAGATTTATATCAGAGTAACGTCGTCATGTGTTCGGTGAACGACTCGAAGAATCTATGATTCCATGCGAAACGAAACTTCTATGAGTCGAGAGAAAGTATTTAGTTGCTTAGCTACTTAGTTGCTGGCTTGCTTACTTGCTTGCTTACTTGCTTAGTTATTTACTTATTTACTCGTTCTCGTAATTACACGTAGAGACCGACGATAAGACTGTTCCCTTAATTGGTATCGCACAATCAATGCTTCTCTTAAAACTTTCTTCTTTCATCAAGTCGTTCCTCGTGCCTTCGGGGTACATAGTTTTAGATTGGATTATCAAAGAGAAAGTAGATCGATTTGTTGATTTTTTTTTATTTAATTTATTCTTACGAGTTTGATCTCTTATCTTCTTGTTTTATTTATATTCCGTGTGTGAGAAATATTTCTAAAGATATTTTATATTTACGTTGAATGTAATTTGAACATTATAATTAAGATAAAGAATTATTGTGAATTTACAGGTGAAGTAATACTAAAAGTAGAAAGGAATATTTGCCGTTCCTACGGAGTGGCAAAAGGAACAAAAAGGGACGAAAAAAGTTGGGCGACGTATCGAGGGTGGTTTTGGATGATAGAAGGCGCGGGGGTGGCTAAAGAGGCCCCGCCGCAGCGTACGGGTCCCGATGCCGGTCCCCGTATCGCAAACCCTCACGCTAACCCTCTCGCTAACCTCCACCCTAGTACCCAAGGAGGAGTCAAACATGCCCTTCATAGACGACGAATTACTTTGGTGCCCTGATAATGATGGAAAGATGGTCGATTTAACTCAATGCCTTCAGGTAAACAATTATTTTATTTATTTCTTAATACCATAATTAATTTATTTGTTTATTTAATTTCTTCGTTCAGATAATCAAATGTTTCAGATATCGATATTAATGTTAATGTATTTGTTAAATATAATCAATTATTTTGAATTTTCCCACGTAAAATATTTGAAATCAAATATAGTTGATAAATCAGCCACAGAGAGCAGCACCTAACGAATAGAACTTTGTTACTAGGAGAGTAGTACTGGCCAGTCGGTCGAGTTTTCTCCAATGGAGTTGAGCGCGCTTGTTGGAACACCTGCTGCACCTAATGTACCAGCGGAAGAAGGTGAAGGTATGTCAAATGTAACTGGGGAAGAACCCTTCGATACCTTAGACACTTTTCTTCGAGAACTTCAAGCGGATTTGGCCGAAGCAAGTCAACCAAGTTCTACCACGACACCTCTTACGAATTCCTGTAGGCGGCAAAGGTACAACATCGCAGCAGCGAATCCTTTATTAGCGGGTAAGTAAATTTATTCAAAAATATTCGTTTAGAATGTATTTTACAAATATTTTTATATGACAATTTTCATATAATTTGTTTTTTTTGTCACTTAGAAAAATTAGCCGCACCATCGTCCCAAGCATCTCCAACGACAATCCCGTATGCTACGAGGGCGGAGATTAAAACGGAGAATATTCAACACGAGACGAGCAAAGGTAGGACAAAATTTATAATAATTGCATTCATTTACATTTCTTTTTAATAATTCGATCTATTACAGTTGCTTATTATCTCCATTTAAAATATATTTCATTTCATTTCAATATTTTCGCGCCTAATATTACAACGCGCCATCTATACGTAACGAAAATGGCAGCATTCAATTGTCGGTAATACAGCGACGTCGGTAAAACAGTACCGTCGATAAGACTTATATGTTCTCGAGGTAATAACATCTAATGATACAACAGATTTACCATGGGGAAAAAAATATTGTCGATAATCAACTGTAATTTATCAGTTATCTATGGTGTTGAGAAACAAGTAGAAATGAAGTAATAGCGTTTAAAGAGCGTTGTATGTTAAATGCAACACACAACACAACACGGTACTCTGTAATACTCGTAGGCATACACTTATATACGTACACAAACGAAGATGTAGAATTCAAGACTCGTCGACCCTCCGCGTTCCGAAAGGGAAACCGGCCAAGGCCCCGTGAATCGCGAGCAGACATCCGCGTTAGCAATAATTGCGACTCGTCGTCATTCGTGTTGTAAAAAAAGAAGCGTTTGTGAGTAGTGCGCGTGAGTGCGCGCGCGCACGCGCATGCACGCACGCACAAGCTTACGCATTTATTCCTCACATGGGCGCAATACGAGAACACGGTCGAACGTGTGCTGGCCCAATTCTTCTAATTTACAGCCGTGTCGTAACGTCGTACGTTCCGTACATACATACATACACACACATACATATACATATAAATACATATAAAATTTTGCGACTACTTCGTTTTGTACGAATATATATATATGGACTTAAAAGGCTATATTAACATTGTTATATTTGAATTCTTGCGAAATCTCGATTGCAATTGATTTTCTTTATCTTTTTCTGGAGAATATAATTTTTGTTGAAATTTTCTTAGCAGATTTTAATCGGATTATTATTTTCGTTCATTTTCTTCTCATTCTAATTAGGCTCGTATCGTTACTCGCGCGATTACTCGTTGGTTGGTCTGAAGTTAAAAATAATTAGCCGTCGTTAGAAGACGAATTGCGAAGAATAGGAGCTCATCATTGTTCTTTTCACATTTTTAGAAAGCGTTTGGAAAGTGAGAAACATACTTTCTAACGAAACTCTATCGAGGAATATCGTTACAGACGTAAAGGCGCCTTTGGTTTGCCTGCCTAAGCATCCTTGCTGCACGTGAACGCGTTTTCGGGATAAACACATACACGTACATAAAGAAAAATTATTCTCGACTCTCTCGTTCTTGGTTTATCCTAAACGTTAGTTTATCTCTTTTTTTCTTTTTTTTTTTTTATTATTTTTCGCTCTAATTATAAGAATGCAATAATTAAAAGAACTAACATAATTTTCTTTTGACTCATATTTATTTCGAACAAAAATTCGTACATATGTATATGATTTTAGTATAAACACGGTAGTTACATTAATCAATGAATTATGTGTGGGTGTACCTTAGATTAATCGAAGTATCGAAAAGATTTATCGTAATATATCATTCTCAAAGCACATAACAAATATATATATATATATAAAACTTATCGATGATTAATCGACAAGATATTACAAACAATTTCTGTTTTTAATATTTTCTTAAATACTTTGGCATGATACTTCACAGCAACATCATCATCATCATCATCATCACTTTCCCCGCGAATGCATTTCGTGCGTATCTAAATGAGAAAGAGAGATGTTCATCTTTCTCCTCGTTTCTCCATTTCATTATTTCATTCTTTCTTTTTCAAATGCATTTTGCGTGCATAAAATCAAAAAAAGAAAAAGAAAAAGAAAGAAACGAATTCATTTCTCACGTACTACTTTAACTATATATACATATATTCTCTTACAACCGCATTCCAACGTATGACGTTATATATCCTCCTCGTGTATGGAAGAAAACGATAGGATGACGTAGCGAAACAAGAAGAAGAAGAAGAAGAAGAAGAAGAAGAAGAAAAAAAGAGAGAGAAAAAAGATGGGGTGGATGAAGTGGAGTTGAGGGAGGGGGGATGTTAAGGGTAGAGAAGCTAGAAAAATATTGGAAAAATTCTTACGAAAATAACGTTTATAGACATAAGAGAGTACAAGTGCATCGTCACCCTCCCCCATTCTCTACCACCCTTGCTTTCCCCCTTTTTTTTTTTTGCGTTGCACCATTGGACCCAGCTGTCCATTGCTGCTGCTGCTGCTGCTGCTGCTGCTGCTGCTGCACTTGTTGTTACCCTCGTTCCCTTGACCCTCCCCAAACACATAAATTCTCTTACTCCCTTTTAGACCTCGTTTCTCTCTCTCTCTCTCTCTCTCTCCAATATTTTCCCCTTCTTTCTATCCCTCTGTTTAACTCCTCATTCGTGTTAAGGGGCCCACGGAAATAGATCGGAGACCCCGGCACAGTGCATATTATCGTTTTATCTTTCTCTTTCTTTCATTCTCTTGCTGACTTTATCTTCTTTGTATCCTAATATTCATCATTCTACTATATGGGGTTTTGTATTTAAGTATTTTCCATGTTTTCATCGATTAAATTCATCCTTAAAGATACAAATAGGTGAAACTCTAATCAGGACGTTTTGATTTTTGTTGTTTTTCGTTTATTAAAATTCGTCTTTTTTTTTTTTTTGTCTTATTCATGTATTTATTATTATTTTTTACCTTTCAAATTATCATCGCGATGATTATGTAAAAGACACAGAGAATCGATATATAAGTCATAGAAGAGGAATAATTCGTAAAAGAAGTTTCATGGAAAACGTAATTCCTTTTCATAAATACGTAATTACCGAGCACCACGTACTCTCTTACGTTTTACACTCGCCATATTTCTTTACTTCTTATTTCGTAGAATAACATCTTCTTCGTGTTACCCACGCAAAACGTGTTTTCACGTTTTGTGGGAAAACTTTCTTTTTTTTTTACGACAAAAATCCGGATATTTTGTTATAACCAAAGAAGAAAAAGAAAAATAAAGACAAAACATTACTTTTTAGAGAAAGAAATAAATGTGTAGACGTGATGATGATGATGATGATGATGATGATGGTGGTGGTGATAGGTGGTGGTATGTTTAAAGTCACGTGGGATATTTGGCGGGATAGTTTAACAAAATGCCCTAAAGAAAAGGAATAAAGTTCTTACGTGGAATCAAACACATAAACGGCAATCAGTCAGTTTAAGTTTTGCTGCCAAAGGGGATCCTATGTGTTGTATTTGTTAGGTTAAATTGTGTTGTGTTGGGTAATCGGCTTCCTCGTATTGCTATGTATTAATGTATATGCAACTGTGTATGTGTGTGTTTGTTACAAGCCTTTAGAACGTTCGTGTTCCTTGTCTTTCTCTAGACATATATCTCTCTTTCTCTTTATCTGAATCGCTTGAAAGTGAATTCAAGATGGCTACTTGCCTTTAAAGCTGCTAGAGTCTTATAGAAGAAATGTTAGATAGAAAAGGATAGAGAATATCCTACATGTGATATGCGTGACCATACACGTATAATGTATATGTTAATATGTGTGTGTGTGTGTGTGTCGTATGTGCGTTTAAATATATGCATGTTTAATGTGTATGTATGGTTGGTTGTATAAGTATATAATATAATATATATATATATGTTGTAGTTAGGCTAGTGAACAGTAAGCGATAGTGGTGATACGTAACGAGAGTGTTGACATTTTCTGCAATCGGGTCAGGGCCCCCTGTTGAACGTAGAGGCATTACCTACAACCCTCCCTGAGGCGAATGCTCGGCGCACGCGGATGTAAACACCGTTTTCGTTCGATTACATTGCCAGAAAGAAATTTATCTATTTATCTATTTATCTATCTATATATATATATATATATATTTTTTTTTTTTCTTTTTATTAATTTTTTTATTCCCTTTCTATTTATATATATGTATTGTATATTTTTAATCTTATCTATCGTATTTTAATTAATTTTTTTATCGCGTTAATATCATTGGTATTTTATGGTCATTTAATGGTTAGTAATAAAAGTTAAGTTTGTTGTTTTTTTTTTATTACTTTTGTCGATTGAATTTGTAAAGAATTTTTCAACGTTGTTTACTTTTTTTTATTTATTGTTTTATTTTCAAGTATTTATTTAATTTTTCGGTTTGATTTTTTCATATGAAATGATTGCTCTCTCTCTCTCTCTCTCTCTCTCTAAGATCGTAGTCATAGATTTTGTCCTTTTTTTCATCTACGTTAGATTTATTTTATTTGAGAAAAAAAAAAGAAAGATAGATCGAGAGAAATTGTGAAATAATCTTGTCGATTCGTTAACATTTAATTCGTTGATTTAATTAAAAAAAAACTTCATTTAATTTTTTCTTATTTCGATTGTAAGTTTAATCTATGTTTTAAAATACGTAATGATTGACGAAACGAAAGTCCCAATTGGTTGATCGAGTTTAGAGGGAATGTTTTGTAACCTTTTCAAAAGTCTTATGAAATAATACTCGTCGATTTCGTTAATAGTTTTTAGCTTCGATTAACGTGTTTAATTTCAATGTAATGATTTATCTTTATTTCCTTTTATTTCTTTTTCTTTTTCTTTTAATTAATCACAATTAGTATTTCGAAGAATTATTTATACGCTTAAATACATTATTAAATTGTTACATCTTTCATAATAAAATTTCTTTTGTTAAATAGAAATAACGGTAAGAAAAATAAATTACGAATGAACGAATGAATACAAAATTCAAATAATTAAATTTCAAATCAATGATATTGTAAAAAGGAAAAACATTAAAAAACATAAAAAAAAAAAAAAACCAGGAACGTTTCTACGTAAATTTTTTCAAATTAAGAACAATAATGAACAAATTGGGTACCTAATTAGGGAAAGAAAATTTAATAAACTAATTAAACTAGCGGATAAAAAATTCAATATTGGGTTTTCTGACAATTGATTTTCCTATTTCTAAAAAAAGTTATTAGAATTTCTTCGTAGTTTTT